ATGTGTTGTTAATTCTTGAATACAATTTCATATTTGTAATAGAATGGAAAGCATTTGAAATATTAATAAATTATTCATATTGATTATATCGTTGGTTCAGTAATATTTAAAGAATTTAAAATTTCGTATTATATAAACATGGAAATTTAGTTGAATCGATTTTAAAAATAAATTACAGAATAGTTCTCATACATCTGATTAGCTATTCGACTAATGATATTTGATTAGTTATTCTTGTCTTTTGTAATTACAGTAAAAAAAAGTTTTCACTTTAAATTTATACTGGTTGTGCTCTTTTGGTCGGTATTGTACCAGTATCAAACTATTCTTCCATCAATGTTGTTTATGCCCTAATATAGTGATTATCACTGAGGTATACCCTAGTTCGTAACAGCCGGACAAAATATCCAAGAGTTCTTTCACCCGTTAATTGTCTATTCCAATAATATTCTTAAAACGCTTATGGTAATAGATTTCCAAAAGATTTTATCTTGTTGGATCTCCGGAAAATGCGCATTCTCCAACTCTTCCTTAGTTCACCTTGTACTGTGCGTTATTCTACTTCACAGAAGAGCTCTGATTCTATAAAGAAAGAACTAGATCCTTTTCTCTCCAATATATCTACCATTTCAATTATTTCCACGATACAGGAACGCACCTTTAATTAAAGATTTTGTTATACGAGAATAAAAACAGATATATAAATTTAAATGTCATACCATTTTTTTTTTCATACGAAAATATGAAGCCATCTACTAGAATAAATAGGCGAAACTATATTCCTTCGACCAACTTGCTGCTTTATATAGACTGTAGCTGGAAGAATTATACCCTGGGGGTGTTCAAGTGTCATATAACATTAAATAGAATGCAAATACTGCTATTTATTTAAAGTGTTATACAACTATATAAGTGTTATACAACTATATAAGTGTTATACAATTATTAAACATCAAAATTCATTAATCAGCAATCATAAGTTAGATAAATTTTTAATAAATTTTTTCTCTTATTGTTACCACTATGTGTAAAAAATAATTCAGTTAATTAATTTAATTACAAAATTTCCAAATTTATTATTCAACTTCAAAAAGAAAGAAACAAGGAAAAACAAAGTAATTTCAAAATATTGTAATATTTCACTGTCATTATGTATAATACATTATAGTATAATAAAATACTTTACATGCGAAATGAAATGGATTTTTGTTTTATTTTCTTGTATATTAACTGTTCATGGTGTAGTAATTTTTCATATAAAATTAACTATCATTTTAAAAGTAGGTATAAAATTTCTGTTATTTTATATTTATGTATGTATATAATGTTGTTTACTGTTACCAAATGTAATAGGTGTATGTACATATACGTTTTTTTTTTTTTGTAATTACATTTAATTTAAATATGAAAATAAAGTTATACCAACATCAATTTAATGTATAAGTAGGAAGGTACATATATGTGAAGTAGCTAGAGTTACACGTATTTTCATAATAAAAAGAAATAATGAGGTCATTTCTCTTCTGCATATAGATATATATACTACGATTTTCGTATTCATCATATTAATCGATTTCAAAGAATCGATAATTTTTTTTTTGTGTTGTTATCATTTTTGTTTTCTTGTGTTGTATTGTGGTTATTTCTTTTAATTCAATATAATTTGATTGTTTGATATGAAGGTAAATTTGAAAAGGAAGGAAGTTGAAAAAAGTTGTATTTTATAAAAAATAGTTAAAAAAGTATTTTCGAGAATAAAATTCATAATTTTTGTATAAAATTTTCTTATGTACGTAAGTATGCATTCGCTTAGTGTACATAGGCACCTTATTTGAATTAAATAGAAAAAACCTCTCTATAGCAAAGGAATAAAATTACAATAAATTTTTAATTTTTTTAATGAATTCGGTACTTGTACAGTAGTTCACACAATTTGTAGTTGTTATTAAGTAAGGAGTTATAAAATTTTTTAATATTGTTCTATGAATTTGTTATTCAACTCTGTTTTTTTCTTTTATTTTTCAAGTGGTTTCACATGTCCGGTTTAAATTTTATAGTTTATTGAAATATTTTTATCCAATATTTTCTTGATTAACCTTTTTTTTTGTATATTGTTTAATGTGTTGCCGGTGGATTTATTAATTTTTTTTTTGTTATGTTTTTAAAATAATAAAACAAGTTTTTTTTATTTTAGAATTTCAAAATAGTGATTTGAACTTTAATATTCTAGAGAAAAAATTCAGTGATATGTGGAAACATCACAAATACAATCTGAATTCTTAAAACAAATAAAAGTTGTAGTGTATACTATTAATAATTTAACTTGTTTTAAATGTTGGAATTACTAACAAATTTTAAAGTATGAAAAGTTAAACAGGAAAATAACAAAATGGCAGTTAAAATTAAATGTTATATAACATAAATATTTTCCAATTTTTTAACTCCATCCTCTCTCAAGTTATCGTTGTTCGAAATATGTAAATTCGAAAGGTGATAATTTGCAATTTATTGCACATTGTATTTACAAAACGTCAAGCTTTAAATGCAAAAAGATAATGGTAAATGCCATGCCATCAAAAAATATAATTATTTTTCTTATATCACCACAATTAACTCTTGAATTTCTTGACACCATTGTGTTAACGGCTCTCTCAATTTTTTGTGTCTTATCCCAAATGTATGCAATCATTTGAAATATTTTGGTATATATAAATGAAAGTGATTTAAATAATGTAATATAATGCTTTTAAAAGCAATATTTTCACTTGTTGAATGGAAGCTTCTGCTACTTTGAAAAGCATTCATTTGACTCAATTTTGCTATTTTTACTGTGTTAGAGACAATCGGATGTGTCGGGTATGTAAAATTCATATTCCGAGTGTCGGGGATGTAATATTCATATTTTAACTTATGAAGTCTTAATTACAATCTTCTGGTGTAGTTGATATTATTCTTCTTACTTTGACTTTAAGATTTCTTTTCCAATTCTTTTGTTATTTCATATTGATTTCAATTTTTATTTCACTTCGCAAGGAAGAATCCGCTAAAATTTTATAATTTCTTTTATTATTTAGAAAAAATTATATTGTTTTTAATCGTTATCAGAAGTCATCACATTTTTTTTAACTGACTAGACACAGAAATCAATTATCATGTACAATAAATTATAATTTTTTTTTTTCAGTTAGGAATATAGAATGTATGTACATGTGATCACAACAGATTATATTGACGACATTGAATGTTTGATCAACAAAAAAAACTTTTTTTTTTGCTATTATTGGCTACTTAAATCGTGTTATCGTTAATCTGACAAAAAAAAACAAAAGTGAAACCGTTGCTCACCGTTATCACAGGAAACACAATTTTTTTCTTAACTTATACCTTCGCTAATATTTTTTACTTTATTTATGTTTGCACACATACATATGAACGTATAATATAAAATTCTACTGGAAAAATAAACTAATTCTGATACTCGTATGAGCGAAAAAAAAATTTAATTTGTAAATATTTTCTATGTAAATAAAATGGTGTACAATTAAAATAAAAAATCAATAATAAAAATGTCAAGTAAATAATGCTTTTGGATGTGTGATATTACTGTACACATAGTATGTACATATGTAATCATAAATGACTCCAGATAATAATTATGTATTATTATGGTTATTACAACATTTTTGTTATACATAAACATGTTAAAATTTGGATGTAATTGGAGTATAAAAGTTGGATGCATTTTTATTTGTGTAACTTTAGGTTTTAAGCACGAAAAAAATAATTTTTAATTGTACTTCTGATTAATTTTAATTAGCAAAAATGTAATTTACCGGATACTTGTTTATATAGTAAGCAATAGAATATTACGTGGTCGCAATTAAATTTTACGTTTCCGGTGTTATTAATGTTCCGAGTAAAATGGTATTAATTATATGTTTGCATGACATATCTCCCAGAATTTGATTATTGTCCGGTTTGGGTTCCGGGTTTTTTCATATTATCATATCTATGATAATCTCCATTAACTTCCTTGCAATTCTTATAACACCATATTTTATTATAACTACGATCAAATTGGTGTATTATATAGTTCGTTGTTCTTACAACTTCATTGCTGCTGTTTCGATATTGTTCACTTATTACTTTGAATTGATGTGACTTAAAATATCGTTTGCCGTTTTATTCCTAACAATATTGTCTTGAAGTATTTAAAATATCGTGTTTATTTTTGATCTACTCAAGATTTTTCCATAATCCACTTTCTGCTCACCTCTTTAGTATAAACTTCCACGTACCAACCTTTCCCGTAATTTATGTGCTTTTGTACAATTTTTCTTCATCTAGTTTTGCAATTATTTTATTCAACTCTTAAGCAAATTTATTTACTGAAATATTTAATTTATAGATTGAAGTATTTTTTTATGCCTAAAATAATTAATTATATTAGAAAAATTATAAGAATTCTTAACAAAATAATTATTAAAGCAATAAATACTTACTATGGGGGCAAATTTTTGAAACTATTCTAATGAAATTTCCGCAATGCTTTGTTATATGTATTTATTTTCTAATATCTAATTAAAAAACAATAATTTTTTTGGCCTCCGTTTTGAATATTCAGGTTTTTTCTTTTTGATTTAAAATTAATTGTCAAAATTATTCGACTGTCTTGTGTTTATACGTTTAACACCAGGCGCTTAGATTTTTCTTATAAATTAGTTTGGCTGTAATCCAGTGTAAATTTTTATATAATTTTAATTGCATCTATTTGGTTTTTGTATAAATAATTAAGTATTAATAGAATAGTTTTTAAAGTTTTGGTATTTTTAATGAATTAATATAATAAAAATAATAATATAATAAAACATTTTATTTTCTCACTTTAAAAGAAATAAAATTAAATTTTAATATATTGAAAAAATTTTTTTATTGATAATTTTATTATAACACTCAATTTAAGTATACTTATTCACTTATAAGTTTTCCTTCTTTTATAGAAATGATGTCGATGGAATTACAAAATGGATTTGGCAGATCAAATCGATGATTATATCTGCTCATTTGAAGGAATTGGTGATTTAGCAATGGATTCATTAGCGATATTCGTATTTATTTGGGCTGTAATAGCCCTATTCTTAGTATGGCTGTGTAAATTTTTATATCGAAAATATTATTTAAAAATTGATTCGACAACAACAACAGTTACTGATGGAACAAAAACGGCAACTGGTGGTGCAATAACACCAAATGGTAAAGCAATAACAAATAGTATCGGTGCTACTAAATTATTAAGTGGAAGCGGCGTTGGTGGTGGAGTCGGTGGTCTTATTGATCAACCAAGACGTTTATCAGAGCCAAGAGAAATTCTAGCGAGTAAAGAAACTAAAGTGAGTAAAAATAAAAGAAAAATTTTTCTGCTGTTTTGTTTTTTTAGAGTAAAAAATACTTTTGTTTTATGTTTTTGTTTTGTTTTTAGTTTAATTTTACTTTGAATTCTTAATTTAAATATCATTTTCATTGTACATACATATTTATAATTTCATAATTTTCATCATAATAAAAGTTAAATTTGGATTTTATGTAAAAATTAAAACTTTTTAGTGCACAAGCTCATGTTGTAATGAAAGAAAATGCAATTAAGTTCAAAAGCATAAAAAGTTTGAAAGAATTTGTTACTTCTTACCAAATCGGCAATTAACAAGCTACACACATATATAAAATTAAAAGTATCAGAAATTGAGGATTTTATTCACTTTCATTAGACATTGAACTCAGTTTAGATGCGATTATTGTCTTGATCCAATACTTGGAAAATTTTTATAAATAAACACCAACGAATGTTTTCATTACCTTATTCTACATTTTAATTTTAAACTACATTTTATATTAACTGCTAGTTCCAAAACATAACACCACATTACTAGGGTGTTGACAAGTAAAAAACAAAGTTGACAAGTTCTTTTAAGTAAAACTTTCAAAACAAAAAATTTAACAAAAACTTGAATAAAAAGTATAAAACTAATTCATTATGAAAAAATTTTTTTGATTTCTTATGATCGCAATTATAATATACAACTGTCATTTTACTGACATATACCAAAACTGACGTTTATTATAGAAATCAATAAATCAATAGTAATAAACTTTTTGGGGACAAAAAAGTTATACAGTTTATTACTTCCCTTGATATAATTATGTATTTTAGACAACCACCCCAATAGTTCCTTTATTTTATAAGTAAATTATGTCATGCCATTATTTCATTTTGTTCTTTACAACAACAAAAAATTTCATACAATAGCAGCACACACACTTGGTGAAGGTAACAGCAACATTGCTATTGTAGTGGCTACAAAAATTAAAGGGTTTAATTAAAGTGAGCACACAATACAATATATGTATATTTGTTTTATTTCCGATATTCAAAGCTTCGAACCGAAACACAGTTGCCCACAGTTGAAAATTGATGTGAGTTTTGACAAATAACCAACTCATATTGTTTCAATTACTCATAATTTTATGTATATATATTGTAGGTTGTATATACGCAATTTATAATTTTTGTCCCATATTGTCTTCAACAACACTTTATAAAATTTGCACAAAATAAAATTTCAATAAAAATTTTCACTGAATTTAGTTTTTGTAGTTTGAAAATTGGATTGTAGTTGAAATTTGTAGTATTTTTGGTTTATTTTAAATTTTTCTGGTTTGTAAAAAAAAAAAAAGGTTTTCAATTGGCGGGCTTGAGAATTTTTTGTGAATGCTAATATAAAAAAATAATTTCAAAAAAGGTCCATTATTAATTGCATTCTTCGTTTTTTCTTGAATTTTTTTCATTTTAATTACAGGAATTATCTTCAGTTAGACCTTTAGGTGGAGGCCTTGGAGGCGGAGGCCTCGGTGGTGGTAGTATGAGACATTCACGCGGACATGTTCCAGCTACACCACCCGTAAAGTTTTACACCAATTTTTTATTTTATACAATAATTTCATTAAATTTTATTTTAAATTTTTCATTACGTATACTTTTTTATTTAAATTTTAATTTTATAAATTCAAAAATGAACTTTTTATTTTTTTAAAAATTATTTTATTAATTCACATTTGAAGCAAATTTATTAAAAAAATTTTCTTAATATTTTAATATTAAAATATTATTCTATTGTATATTGTACAATAAACAGACTCGTAAACGAATCGTACGTCAAAGTCCAGGACCGGAATTACGTAAAAAACGTACTGTTTTACCGCCAGCAAATGTTGTTGGACCAGAAACTGTAAGTAATATTATATAATACATTTTTTTTTTGTAATTTTAAAAGTCTAAATTTTTACATGATGGATACAAAATTTTGTTTACTGTATGTTGTAAGCGTAACTAAGATATTATGTAAATTAGTTGAAACACACGTCCTAAATTCTATGCATCGCCGCGAAAAATTCTATGATTTTAAAAGTTTATGTGTCAGCCAATTTACTATAATTCTTTACGGCTAATTACACTGCGGTAAATAACAACTTTTTTTAGATGTCCAAAATGTTTTAGCCCGAAAAGTTATTTGACATATAAAAAATTTTATGAAAATTTCAATTTGTCAAGCATTTTTGCATAATGCTCGACGTAAAATTTTACGTAATAAATCATCAAACAAAATTTTGTGTCCAAACACAAAGCTATTAGAATATCCTTCATTTTTACATGTCATATAATATGTTCTTGATATCAAACATCATACAACACAAGTTGTACAGCAATGTTTGATACTTTTGCAAACATGATTCAAATTTGGTTTGATTGTGATTCATCTCGCTGAATAATTTTAATATTTAAGACTTTACTAATTCATAATTTTAATTAATTTAATTTAAATTTTTTTTTGTAGTCATCTGTAACATGGACAAGTCAAGTATTTCGTTGGTTATACAGCGATTTAGTCATTGTTAACGAACTTTTAAACACCTGGGTTCATACGTTAAATGAAAATTTGAAGAATTCTGTAGAAAATGTAAGTAAACAAAACAAAAATTAATTGTATTAAAAATATTAAATAAAATTATAAAATTTAAAATTAATATTTATACTTAAAAGAGAAAAGAAAAATATTTAATGAAAAAATATTTCAATAAGAAAAAAATCACTTAAAATAATAAATTTTAAGTTGTTTTTTTTGTTTGACAACTCTTTGCTTAACGATCCAGTTGATTGACCTGTGAACTACGTTTAAAAATAGTTTTTTTGGTAATATTTATTTTTAATGAAAAGTTTATTCATTTTAATTTTTAAAAAAATCATTGAGTAATCAAAAACCTTAAACTAAACTATAAAATGAATCGTTTAGTTATTAAAAATAATAGTTAACATATTTATGTTAATTTTCATAGCATTTGTAAAAAAAATTCTTACAAGCTGTTTTTTTTTTTTGTTGTTTGCTTTGGATTCAAAATTAAATGGAAATGATTACGGTAATCATTTTTGATTGCAATGAACGTTTTCACTAAGCGTTCATTCATAATTTCACTCATAATAATTGTGTTTACAATTTCATTATTTTCTGTTTTTTTTTTTTAAATGTTGTTTATACTTGAACGTGTCAAAATTAAAATTGAATGCATACATAAGAAAAGAACACAAAAAAATATAAAAGAATTTCGTTTAAAATTGAGGTTGCCATCTGTGTACATTTTAATTAATTTTACTTTATTTTTCATGTATGTAGTTTAAAATATGAATTATTAAAGCAAAAATTTTGTGGAAACAACCCTGTTTTAAAAGAAATACGAATTTCTATGTCAAATAAACATCAAAATGAAAAAATTTGAACAGAATTGGACTATGATTTTAAACTTTTCCTTTTAAACTATAAACAGAGAATAATTAAACTTCAAATTCTAAAAAATTAGTTTTCGATATAGTGGATGTTTTTGATATGTACCCAAATCTATATTCTCATATTCGTTGGTTTTTATTATTGTTATACCCTACGACCACAGTAATATTCTCGAATTTCGACAAATTAACGAAGGTCAATTTGAAATTAAAGAACAAACATACATACTGATAAAAAATGTATTTTTAATATTTCACAGTATAAAAGAAACTCTTGAGTAAAAAAATTTTTTACAAAGTTTCAAAAATCAATAATTCCTAATTTGCAAACAAGATGGCAAACCTTGTAATACATACTTGCATATTTAGAAATTTTTTTCGTTTATATTTTTTTTCAATCATTTAAATTAACATTTGTGTGGTTCCAGTAATAGTCAAATTGAAAAAATATTTAGGTTAATTATTTACAACACAATTACTAGTTTCTCATATACATACATACATTTATCATTTATGTACGTAAATACGCAGAGAAAATGAAACAAAGTAAAATTTCAAAAATAAATTGTAACATAAATATAATTTCACTTGTTTAATTAAAATGAAATTATCATTGAAAATATTGACAAAACAAAAGGGGGGTAAAAATTTGACTTAAATGTAAAGTGAAACGAGATGAAACAAAAATTACATTGTTTTTGCTTATTTAAATGTTTCTTTATTTTAGGTAATTTGAATGTTTTCCGTATTATGTTGAAATTTGTGAATTTAATTAATTAAAATACACAAAAAGAAAATTTAATATTCTGTGAAAATTTACAAAAAAAAAGCAAGCAAGCTCAAATAAAATAAAATAAAAAAAAATCAACTTTGATTTATTAAAATATTTTGCAAAGTTGACAGCTCTTTTTAAATATCAATTTATTTTATAGAAAGAGAGAGAAAAAAAAACTGATTAATTATTGTCAGTTTTGACATTATATACATAAAAACTTTCTATTATACTGTATGAGGAACTAATTCATAATATTTTAATTAAAAATCTAAATTTAATATTTAGTACTAAATAATATTTTCAGAAAATTTAGAATTTTGAATTCAGTCAATGAACTGTTGACATTTACAAATTTAACGCGTTTTTTTTTTAATTTTCAAATTTTGATAAATAACGGTGATCGATGTCATCCTTTGACAGTAATTCGTTATTTTTATAATATAAGCTGCAAACCATAAAAAAAATGTTAAATTTCAAAACTAATGCGCTCTTTTAGGTGGGGGTTCTAATCAAATTATTAAATTTGAACAATGTGACAGCTGTTTTCCACAAAATTAATTTTTTATTTTGAAAAATTTCACTATACTTTTACGATTTCACTATATTAACCAAACGTTTAATTTTATTTAATTATTAAGCTATTGTTTAATAATCAATTTGTTTCAAAAATTAATAGAAGAGTTTCAAACAAATCATTTAGTCAAATGTGACATGTGCTGTGAAAAATTATTGGTACAACAAAATTGTTTTTTATTTGCCCACAGCTATATTTAAAATTATCGATTTTTTTTCTGTAACGATAACTTTTTCTTATCACACAGAGATAATTGTTATGTGCGTATGTATAATTTAAATAAAATGTAGTTGTTGAATATTTGTTTTGAATGTTCGTTGGAATTTTAATAAAACTTGCCCTATATAATAAATAATTATTATAATCGCAGTTTCTAATATGTTATATGTACGTATAACATAAATGTTAATATTACACAATGTACATTTTATACATGGATATTTTTTTTAATAAAATATTGATAAAAATAAAAATTTTTATACAGTATTGGTATAAATGGATTGATCAGACACCAATTCAACGATTACAAAGCGCTCAAAATCATCCCTATACTATGATGGCAATGACATTTCAATTTTTTCTTCAAGTATGTAAGATTCATCCGATATATGTATGTGCTTTGGATTGGTTTTTCTCCTTCTTGTGTCCTTCTTTTGTCTTCTCTATATAATGTTTGTCATGCTTGTAAACTCTTTTCTATATTTCCACTGAAATTATATACACATATTATTCGTATTAAGTAGTTTTTTAATACACAATGAATGCAGATTTATATGATTAATATTTAAGAAGTTTGTCAGAATTTTGACAAATTGCTAATATTCAAATTTTTACTATTATTGTTGAATTGAAATTCTGATTTGTTTTGTTTTTTGGTTCAATTTTTTCTTCCTGTCAAATTTTGTTTTTGAAATTCGAACCATTTTATTTTTGAATTGTTTATTGTGCTATATTATTACTATACCTTAAATTATTCTTGTTATACTCTTGTATATGTGAATATTTTTTATTATAATATCTTTTATGTTTAAATTTTTTGGAAATTTTCTTATACAATGTTGTATAATTTTCTAATTATTTTTAATATGCTGTATTTAAAATTTCATATATCTTGCAAATATTAGTACTCTTATGTAATTTTTAGATATACATAATTAAGTATTTATGTATATATTATACTATCAAATGTTTGTGCAATTTTTTTTAAATGTGAAATAATTTAAAAATAAAATTTTCACATGCTTCCGAAAAATTCTCGCTTTGGACGCGTTTTTTCTTTTTTCGTCAAAACGTCAAACATGCAATTCTTTTTTTAAAATATTGTTTCAAAAAATTTAAAATACATGGCAACTCCGCTTACATGACAATTTATTTTTTGCTTTTCATGGTGGCTTCACAAGTTCAAATTGGAAATTGAAATATTTGAAAAGTTGGTTTCATGTAATTTCTAATTTGATAATTGTTTAATAATAATTATTAAAAATAATTTTTTGGAAATATTGATAATATGGAATCAATAAAGTAAATACAGTAGAGAAATATTCGGAAGGTTCAAGTTGAAAGCAAAAACTCGAAAAACTTAAATGGAAGTTTCATCATACCACAATCCCATTAAAAGGTGGGTTAATTATAATCTTGTAATTTTCGAACTATTGCGGTAAATGAGTGATTTTGCAAATGAAATTTGTAATTCTCCAAAAGGAAAAAGCATAGTTCCAACAAGATTTCTTATATTTTTACATATGTATTTATGTATGTGTGTATGTATGTATGTTGTATTTAAGTTACAAAGTTTCAAGATTGTACTAAGCATCAAAATTTTAATGGGCTACTAGATAGACTTATTTAAAACCATCTAAAGAACAATTTTTCAAAACCATTTAAAGGACATAATTGATGCTTTCTGAAAATCATTCTTACTCCGATTGATTAAATGAATTCAAAATAAAATCATTAAAAATTAAATTGCAATATGCTGATATCAGAAAATGTTAATAACCCTTCAATTTTAATTTAATTTTATAAAATTATACAACTTGTAAATTGTTTATATGATTGTATGAATGTGATAACGCCAATATTAATATCACAAAGAAAAGAAAGTTTTTTTCTTATTTTAAATTTTAAAGTAAAAATCACGTATTTCAATTCAATACGATTAGTTCTACTCTTACTTTAAAATTTAATTTTACTTTTATATTTTATAATTATATTAATATATACTTCAGTTTTTATATATGTACAACTTATATAAGTTTTATACCAAATAACATAATAAAAAATTTTATAAATAAAAAGGTTAAAGATTAACTACTAGGTTTTTAATTTTAAATCATATTGTTTTCACTTATCACGTTCTTTCTTTCTCATTTCATATACACAATCTAGATCATACATGTATGTATAATTAAATTTATTTTATAATTTTAATTGTATTATGTATAATAAGAATTATTAAATCATTTCTAAATTTAAACTTAGTATACCATTCATTTTGTAAAATTTTACTTTCGAAATAAAATTGTAGTAATTAAAATTTATGAAAAAGTATAACAATTTTAATCATAAATCAAATCTATATTCTACTCATATGATTTAAATGAGAAAATCTAATTAAAAGTAACGTAGATTTAAACATGATCACATAAATTTATCTCAAAACAAATCTTTTATAAAATATTTAATTACTGGCATATACAAAAGTTTAAGGTTTAAGTAACTTCCTCAGTTAAATTTTAATTTGATTATAGAGAATAAATTTGAATTTCTGAATTTGAATTCAGAAAATCATAAGGATATTTTAGTAAACTGTAATGATAAGGAATTCAAAATTGCAATAAAACTCAAAAACCACTTTTATATAAGATTATAACAGTTAAAAATTTTTAACTTTTATAATTTTATGTGATAAATAAAGTTTGCCACAGTTAATCAAATTTGTATTTTCATAAATTTTTTGCAAAAGTGAATTCATTTTTAAATTCACTTCATCATTTCTAAAGATTTTAGTGAATCCTTTTGTATAAAGAGAAGCAAAAAATACAATAATTAATTCAAAAAAAAAGGAGAACCCTTACAGGATGAATTCATTTATCATCATCGTTTTGCTTTGTTGCTACCGTATCCATGATAATAATTTAATAAATCATAATGTTTTACAACATTACAATTATAGGGCTATATGCAAGCACTTATTACACTGTAAACGAGTAATACTTCCAATAACACTAAACAGTGAGTATAGTACCTATGCTCAAAAGAGTATAGTTGAAAGAATTATATAGTTCGGAATAATTTTTAGCTACAAACTGTGGAAAGTTCGAAATAGGTTGAAGTGTTTATATTCCTGTAAGCGGAAAATTTTAAATATTTCGTTATATGACAAATATAAATAAAATGGTTTCTCACAATTTTTCAAAAATCGATTTGCATTTTGGCCAGAGTTCAGTCCAGTCTAGAGTCTAGACATAAGAGTCCAGTCTGAGTGTCTTTCTTACAAAGTCACAATAAAACTTTGTGAAAAGTGAATTAAGAGAGTGATTTTGTTTAAGAATCCATAACGGCTAGTTACGAAACAGTTTCAAAATTTATGTGCAAAATTTGTTTACACCAAAAATATTCCATAACTAATTTATACTCTTTATTTTTTGATTTATTTGGAATGAAATACATTTAAGAAAGGGTTTCTCTAATGAGAGAAATAAATAGAAAAATTATTATTCTGTAGCATATTGCTTTAATGAGTGACATATTTTATAATTTATTTTAGATATATTAATATAATAATCGTATATTACAAATAATTTCGATTTAAATAAAAATAAATTAATCGAAATATTTCAAAAAGTAAAATAACAATAATTTATAATTTTATGGTCTGCTTTCATTAATAAAATTGATCATAAAATCATAAATATAAAACAACAATGAAATATTCAAAATCTTTCAATACAATAATTTTTACTGTTTATTATATAATTAACATCATAATTCAATTGTAAATAATGAAATTTGTTAAAATATAAATTTGAAATGGCAACTCGTTGCTCTCATTGTTTTTTCGCTCAACATTTTTAATAACGCCATTTTTAGACTTTTTGATATATTTTTATTATCAATTGTCATATTTAAATACAAAAGAAATTTTTCTATTTTAACTTTTTTTTTTAATTTTTTGTCATTTAAAGTTTTTTTTTTACTATTTATTGTTGGTACGCGTGCTATATTAAATGTCATTTTATTCTTTTTATACACGATACACAGAAAAAAACAAACAAATAAACAAATAGAATTGAAATGGGAGGCTAAAATGATGATTTATAACCTCAATTAATTTTGAAATTTTCATTTTATTTTCATTTCATTGGAATTACAATAAATAAAATGACAAAAATACAAAATGGAATGAATTCAATTCAATCACAATTTTCAAAAGAGCAAAATGATGATTAATTTAATTAAGAATAGTTTTTTTTTAATATTATATAATTTTGAAGTAAAAGTAATTTTTAATTTAAGAAACATAATTAGAAAAAATGCATAACCGGGTAAATATTTGAAAGCAATACAATGGGAGGATAGGTAGGATTTTAATTTTTTATTTTATTTTTGTTTAAACTTTCATTTTTTATAATTTAATTTCCGTGTTTTGTTTTTTAGTTAACCTTAAAATTCTGAATTTCAAATCAATTGCTTTTCAAATAAAACTAATTCTTGCTGAAAAAATGATTGTGCCGAAAAATTGACAATTGAAGCGCAACTACTCTTGAAATTGGCAGTAAAATTCAATTACAGTCGCGGATTTTATTTAAAGTGAAATTACAGTCGCGGATTTAATCGACGGCAGTAAAATAACCTAAATTCCTATTTTACTGCTAGAGCTCTTCTTTCGACATCATTTGTTTTCATGTGTGAGTGAACTTATGTGCAAAATAATAAGAAAATTTGGTTCTGTGTTAACAACGAAAATCGTCCACCGTTGCCGTTTACCGCTTTGGTTTTGTTTTCACACTAATCGATATTTACTGCATGTAATATAGATTTATTACGGCTTATTATTAAGGGAGCTTCATATATAAATCAAAATTATCAATACAGATTCCAAATATGTTATTAGAATTTTTCTATGTCATGATTTTCTGATGACAGTTTTTCTTAGATTATTATAATGTTATCTTAAACTTCATGTTTTTAACAGCTATTAAAATTTAAAAATGTCTTTTTAATTAAACCTTTCATAATTTCAAAAATATTTTTATTACATCAATTTTTATATTTTGTATTCACACCGACCATCATCATAATTAAATTATTTATATTTTTTTTTTTATATTATTGTGCATAAATTATTTTCAAACGCCATATACCGCGTCGCGCCGGTTATAAAAAAATTAAGAATTGTATACCACTTTATTTATTTATTTATTATGTAGTAGGCATACTATATAAATTACTCACCTATTTATGCAATATCACTTCATAATTATGTGTATATATATATATTTTTAAAATGTAGTTGAGAAGTGAGAATGATCATCGTGTATAGAACTGCAAAATTACGTCATTAATTTTAGCTTATGTAGGTTTGGTATTTGTTGCTTTTAAATTTGTATTTTCTATATTTCTTTTCGTATATCTAATACTCGTACATGGGTAACATTTTCTAAAAATAAACTATTGTCAAGTTTTTGTTATTTTTTTTTTTCTGGGGGAGACAATGTTTATTATGGGAGCAAAATTTTGATGATTCAAACTAACTAAATTATTATAATAGTGAATAAAAAAAATGAAAGTATTTTTGTTTTTTTTTTTTTTAACTCAATGTCAAGAGTTTTTGATATTATTTTGTTAATTTCATGATTTAATTTGTAATTATTAGCAATTATTCACAATAATACGAATGTATGCTGTAATATTGGCTATTTGTCGGTAATTGTGTCATTGATTAGTGATTAGTCAATGAAAATTTGCCGATTACGCTTATGTAAACATTTTGTTTTTCAATTCAATTCTTTTAAAATTTTCGTTTTCAAAATTTTTTTTGTTAGAATTGAACGAGACTTATGAAATTTATCGGTTTTTACTCGAATATAATTTAAAATCGCCATACATGGAAAATTTTTATTCTTTAATTTTTAAGAGTTTTTTTTAGGAAGGCAACACTTATGTGTTGAAAACAATATAAAATAATTGCCGACAAATAAAATTTACCTCTTAAAATATTTTTTTTTATTACACAAACTTTAAAAATTTGTGGGTAATAATAAAATCAAAGTAATAATAGCGATCAATAAAATAAACTAAAATTTACCCAAAACTACATACTTAATAAAAATGAATAAAAAAAAATTCTAATAAAAATTTTACATGAATCGCAAAGAAGAAATGAATGAGATCATAGGAATGACGAAATTTTTCAATATAAAGTTTTTACTTTGGAAAAAATATTTGTTCATGTTATTTTTTTTTTTTTTGTGAAAGAAAAATCGTTTTAATCCAAATAAAAGTATTTCCTACTCCACATTACCTCAACTTTTTTGGTTAACATTTATGTAAAAATGTCTGATAAAAACCAAAAAAAATGTAAAGCTTATTTCTAAAAATATAAGGCAGTCTGCGGGCAAACGGAATTGAAAAACACATTAATTTCTAACTTATATTGCATGAGTTTGAGGGAAAAATTAATTAAAAGTCAAATTTTCACAAATTAATTTTGATAGAAAATGCAGTTTGATAACCAGTTTTCAAATTATTGCACCAAGTTGGAAGCTACAAAATTATCAAACAAACTCGTTATCATTTGAAAAGAGTAGGCAAGGAAATTTTCAACTATTCAACTACTACATAATATTATGTAGTTAAATTTAATTTAAAGTACCAGAAAATACTGATTTATTAACATTGACAACTTACAACATGGGTCTGTCAGGTATCAACATTGAAATCTAAACTATTATTAAAATGCCCTCCAATTAAAGCTGTTCAAGTAACGCAAAAGAATTCTTCCCAGTATTCACTGCTTTACAAAGTTTTGTAATATCCGCAAAACTGCTCAAAATTTAAAGTTCGGCTTTGCGCCAGATGACGCATTAGTCACTGTAAGAATATTCCATTCTTTTATAGTTTTCTTTTTATAAGAGCATTAACGTATTATAGGGAAATTGTAACAAATAATCAATTGATTTGAAAATAATTATTCTATTCCGGAAAAATCAAACTGGACTAACTTTTTTTTCAGTAAAAAATTAATGAAAATCATTAAACAAAAATTTTTTTTTTGGAAGTGAAATTCGTGTCGAATGTAAATGTTTAATAAACTGTTGTATGCCCCAGTTTTTTTTTTTTATTAATATCAAGGTGTGTCGTCCTTATTTTTTTTACGAATTCATTTTCATTTTTCTTTTTATGTACATTGTATGTCCTTATGCTCGTAATTTTATACAATTTCAGTATTATGGAACAGAAACTTAAGTTTTGTAATTTTTTTGGTAATTTTTTCGTTTTTTTTTTTGTGAACCAAGGAAAAAAGGTGAAAATAATGCGTTTTTTTTAGTGTTTGTTTGACTGTTAAGAGGATTTCCTGTGCGTGGTAATAGAAATTTGGTTTACATGCTCAAATGAGTTCATGTTTTTGTTTTTTTTTTGTTCTTTTTCGTTATAAAAAATAAAAGTTTTGGAAATTTTTATTATCCTGATCCTTTTTATATGAAATGTAATGAATGACCGACCATATTATGTAATTTAGGTATGCACAATAGTAAATGATTCAATTTTAGTTTTTTTTTTCTTTGGTATTTATTGAAGAAAATGGAATCTTTATACGATGTGGGAATATTTTTTTCTGTAGTTTTAGAATGTTACGTTTAGAATATCATTAATCTTATGAGTCCTAATTGACTACTAAATATCTTAGTATAGAAATGTGTACGGATGGGTTTTTGTATAATAATATTTCTGACAATTTCTGAGTTTTATTACATTTCGTATTACAAAGTTTATGTTAGAGCTCAAAAATTTGTAGAGGAATGAAATCTCTTTTTCTTTTCAATAGCGTGAATTTTCTGTACACACGAATTTTTAAGGGTCACGGCTATTTTTACACTTTTATTTAAATTTTCTTCAACCTTTTATAGAAAAGTTATAAGGATATAAGGTTAAGGAGTGTTGTTGCTTCATTTTATTGCAAATGAAAATGTGTTTATTGATCTTAAAAAACCAAGAGAAATAGTAAAAATCAAGCATTAAAAAAATGACACTAAAAAAAAATAAAATTAAAACTAAAAATTTTCTTCTACCGTTTATTTTAATTCACCGCTAGTCCTAACTATTTTAATAATATTATAATAACAATATTTAATAACGGTAATAATAAATTTATTTTCTGGAACTCAATTATAAATTTTGACCTTCTATTTTAACACTATATTAAATCATCTCGTAATCAACGCAAGCTAAATTACCAAAAATTGTCTGTCTCTCTGAATTTAGCGTGTCATTTATTGCTTTATTTTAAAAATTTTAACATAACGCAATACATACGAACATATAAAATACGTGCATATAAATAAATATAAATATGTATATATGAGTGTGTGTGTGTTGTTATAGACATAATGATATTTATATTCTTTAAAAAAAAATATAACAAATCATTTGGCCATCCTTGTTAAAGTAAAATGGTAATACGAAAAAAAAAAATACGATTTCATTACGATAAATGTGAAAATATCTTTCTTTGATTAACGGTATTTTTTTTTGTTTTGTTTTTTCTTCGTGTCTGAATTTTTTCAATGCCGTGATTTTTTTAAAATGTTCGTGTCAAATTCTTTTAGGTACTATAAACATTTTTTTTTCTTTATAACTGTAAATACGAAACATTTTTAAAAACCGGATTTATAAAAATTTTTAAAGAAGGGAAAAATTATTTTCGGTTTTACAAGGTGGGTTTTTTTTTTGGGGGGGGAAAAAAATATGGGCTTGACAATTTTTATTTGTGTCTTATTTTTCTTCTTTTGATTTCAGAAAAAATTTCATTAAATACATTAAATAGCACCTGTCATAAGTTAATATGCATATGCATATATGTTTAAAATATTATTATACAAATACATATATACACTTCTATAATGAACTTCTAATAAAACAAAGGAATAATATGAAAAATTCCGAAGAACATCAGTTTCCTCTTTAATTGCCATGTCGAAATACGCCTTTAATATTTTGAATTTCGCTTAAATATTCAAAAAGATAATAATAATACTTATATGGAAATTTTAGTTAATAATAAGTATAAAAGTGTCCTTGAAACTTTGATTCGAAAAACCAATATAATTATTAGGTATTGTGCCTATTAATTGGTTTCTTTCATTTGTTGGAAAAATGTTTTTTGTTAAGTGTTTTGAACACGCAATTCTAAAAATTTTTTGTTTTCTTTTATTCTAATTCTATAAAACTCCTTAAAGGTAGGCCAGAGTGAAATCCTGAAATATTTATAAGTAAATTAATTTATATGCGCCTAATCGGCTACACTTTTAACCTTTTTTTATATGAACTGGTCTTTTCAATTTTTGTACTTCAATTAAAATTGTTTATTTTCTAATTATATATTTTATTACTGAATAAGTCAAATTGACGTTTGATCTGCATTTTGGTAGACGGGCCTCTGTTAATATAAAATTCAGCTTATAAGTGCTCATTGCTGAATTATCACGGAATACAATGTTATTGGAACTTCAATGTCAGGAGACTTGATTTTCTCTTAATTTTCTCTTTTTTTTTCTTAATACATAAATTGTCTTAATATAACAACCTATACAAATTGTCTTAAATGTATATACGTACATATGTTTTATCTTTCTATTCCTGACTTTAAAATTGTGATAACACAGTATTACCACACAATTCAGCAAATAAATAGTAATTGCTGAATTGTATATTTTTTAAAATATTCAAGCAATTTTGAAGTTAGAATGACACAAACTCAAAATTTTTATGAAAATTTCCTTGATATTTGTTTTCATAATTTTTTCTTTCTTCTTTCATGTTGGAGTTTTACTTTAAATATTTTATATGTTTATATTTTTGTTTTAAATATTTTTATTTCTAAATGGCAGTAATATAGTTTTTAAACCTTATTTAGCCCTAAATTGAATTTTAAATCCAGTTTAAACATAAATTTCTTAATTAAATTTAAAAACTATATTGCTGCAATAAAAAATTCATAAAAATTTTATTTGAAATTTTTGGTTTTTGAAATTTCAAATTAAAATTTTAAACTAGTTTACTCAATGTCTATAAAATTTATTTAAATATGTACATATAATTAAAATAAATTGAAATTTACATTAATTTTATTTCATTATATTTTTAATTAGCATGGTGTTGGAATTGAAATTGTTCGAGTTCTACCGGATAGTCCACCACCAACATTGGCAAATTTATTTTGTCAAGCAAATGAACAGAATCCAGCTGATATGGTTATAACAATGGATTGTGATGCTCAACCGATATTACAAGTTAAAGCTTATCGTCAAAAAAATGGAAAAGTTGAAACATCACACTATAAAGTTACAGTATCACGTTTTCGTGGACGTTTATCAATTAATCAAAATTATAACACATTAAAGGGTGATATGAGAGTTGAAGGATTTCCGGATGTAAGAAAATTTTAATAATTTTTTTATCATTCAGTATGTATTAATTTATTTAACCTCACAATTTATTATTTATAGATTCGTATTGCGATGAACAGTGTTGGACATATTAAACCAATTGATCAAGATGAACAACAACTTCAAGATGTCATTAGGTATATCTAAGTCTAAATTTCGAATTTATGCTGGTTTTTGAAAAATATTTTTTTAATAATTTTTTTTTCTTTGTCAATTTTAGTGAAATTGTAACACATGCCCTACGTGATTCTTTATATCCAGTTGATTTTTCAATTTATGCAACATGCCCTCGAGCTGAAATTGAAATACCAGAAATACCAGTAAATTTACCAATACATTATGATTCTTTAGCGGTGAGAGGGAAGAAAATTATAACGCGTTCTTTTTTTTATATATATATTTTTTGTATATTACAAAATATTTGCATGATAATTTTCTTATGAATTATGAGACAAATATTTAATTTATAACATTCTCTTCACAGTGTGCTTTACATGCATATTATATAATTTTAATATTTGTATTAAAACTAGTAAATAGAATGCACTCTGCTCATACTTATATGTCAAACATAAATTTTTGATGTTCTTATAATTGTACGTATTTAAGTTTGACATATATGTCAACTTTGATGTTTTGTTATCAATAATTTAGATAAAGTAATTATAAGAGTGCTTTCCAAGTACAAATTATAACCATTTTCATTATTAAAAAGCATTAAAAATTTTAAAAATAGTATTAAATAAAATTCAAAGCTTTATAAACATAGAATAATGTGTGAATTACATGCATTCAATATTTGTACGCTAAATTTAATGAACTCATGTAGTTTAAAGATTTCTTTTTTTTTTTTTGAAACATTTTCTTCCCTTAAAATTTCTTCCTTTACAATTTTTTCCTCAATTGGTGATTTCATTTATTTTTTGATTTTGTCATTTCGACATTTTGTCATTATAAAAGACTTCATATTTCTTTAAAAAAATCAAAAAGACAAAAAAAATGCTCATAAATGTCATCACATTTAGGAAAAGTTTGTATGATTAGAAATAAAAAAAAAAATTTGACATATTGTCAAAAAATTTTAAAAATTCTGTGAAATTTAAAAAAAAATTTTTAGTTTGACTGTTTAGTTAATATAAATGATATTAACATGTATAATATTAGATAAGAGTGAAATTTAAATTAAATGATTAATTAATGTGTAGTTTAAATAACAATGACTTATTAAGTTTATATAAACTTTTCTGCATATGCATAAATAATGATCTAGCGCTATTCTCCTAAATGCATGAGTAAATATTTAAATTTTTTTATTTTGCTCAGTCAGTTTGCGTTTTTTATTATACGCATTAAAAATCATTTATCAAAAAAAATTTATGGACCAATTAAGTTTACTTTTAAATAACATAAGCTGTTTCAAAAATCATTTACGTGTAAATTTATACAAAATCAAAAACTTGAAAATTTATAATACCAAGTTTTTATTATAATAATTATTGTCACTGTTTTGACAAGAAAGTCATTGAATTTCATTTTAATTATAAGAAAAATGGAAGCCTTCAAAATCATAAAAGAAATGTCCAAACAAAAAAAACTCAATTAAAACTAGATTAACTTCCATTAAAAATTCTGAATGATTTTATTTGAATTGAATTTCTTATATCAATCACCTATTATTGAAAAATTTTCATATTTTTTACCAAAAAAAAAATAATCTGATCATTTTTTGATTCCTAAAATATTCTTTTTAAAATTTTTCTTTCTTTACAGCTTTCTTTACGATATTCTTATTACCACTAAAACTTTTACTTCTGCCACATTTCTATTTTATTATATGAAATTAATGATTAATCTAATCATCTTCTAAAATCTAAAATTACCTTAGCATTATTTCAAAAAAATAGAAGAACTTATAATAAATGTTGTAACTTTACACATAAATTGATTTGAATTTTTTTTTCTTATACAGTCCTATACATATAATTTTTTCAGAAACAAATGTAACTGTTATACATATTTCGTTATTTATAACATAGAGCTTACAAGTGCTGCCATTTCATATAAAAAATTAATTGAAAAAGAACAATAATTAAAAAAAAAAAATTTTAATTTAAAATTTAATCCTATAAATTAATGATATATTAATAATATTTATTTTTCAAACGTAGTAGCGCTTGTAACTTCAAATAATTTAAAATTGATTAAAATAATTAATTTCTATAGAAAATTATAGAAATTTCACAGGATTTTTACTATAATCTTTAATCTTTTTATATATTTTTAATTTTTTTTTTTTTTTTTATGTTTACCTTTATCATTAAATTTTTAAAATAAATCTATATATAGTATAATATGGAGCATTTAAATGCTAATCGTTATGGTGGAACACCATTAATGTCATCCGGTAAACGTTTATTAGTTAAAATAGTTAAAGGTGATGGTTTAGCGGCATGTGAAGGTGCCTATGTTGTTATTGAAATGGATGAACCACCACAAAAAAATCAAACTGGTGCTAGACAAGGTACCAATCCATATTGGGATGAACATTTCTTATTGTAAGTTCTAATTCGTTTTTTTCATTTTTAATATAAATTTTAAAAATAATTTTATATTCAATTTTTTAAATTTAAATCAAGTAATGGGGGATTTTTTTTTAAATGTTTGACTTTTTCATGTAATTTTTATTTGAATTTAAACGTCAACTTGATTGGTGCTTAAACGCATTCTTAATTTTCGGGTAAAAATTTCTAAACATGGCGAAACATCTTGTTTTTTTTATTAAATATCAAAAATAAAAAAACAAGAAACCAATGAGCAAAAAAATCACCTGTTACTATTATCGATAAAATGATTAATGAACAATATAATATTATTTATTGTAATAATTTCATTTATGCTTTAAAATATATTTTTTTTTAAAACATCAAAAAAAAAAAAATAGCGATTTAACTGCACAATCAGCTGAAATATTATTTGAAGTATATGATAGCCCAATTCGAGCCAATGATCCACCAAAATTTTTGGGTTTAGGTTTAGTTGGTATTGATGAATTAGCTGTTGGACCAGCATCATCACAAACATTAGCCTTACAACCTAGACCATATGAAACAGAAAATGTTCAAGGTGCTATACAAGTTGAATTTGTGTTCATTGAAGGTGCTGAAATACCATCTGGACCTAGACCATATAAATTAAAAGAAGCCTTACGTATTAGTACACCAATTATAAATGAACATATTAAAAATGGTTCAAATTTAGCTGATGCTGCTGTTAAAGCATTAAAAGAAGGTGCATTAGCAACTGAAGAAAATCCTAGTAAAAGTACTTTAATTATACATAGTGTTCAGAGGGTAAGTTAAATACTCTAATTTAAAGAGTAAAATTAATTTAATATTTCTCTTGTACATTATACATTAACAAGTCCGTTTACATTATTAATAATAATTGTTCAAAAAAAAAAGATGGTTGTCATTTCGTATTTATGTCATTCTATCAACAAAAAATTTTTAAAGTGATTTGTTTTCGTTCGATTGCAAATTTACAAAAAAAAAAAAATGAACATTGTCATTTCATATGGAATTTTTGGAAAATTTTAGGCTTTTTTTTATTTCCTGTTTTAATTATAATTCATTTTTTTATCATTTATAATTTTTAAGAATTCATATTTCTTTTTTAGTTTTTTCCTAGTAAAAATTAATTTTTCTTATCCTTACAAAATTAATTTTATACGCAATTCTGGTAGTTGAAATGAGACGCAAATACAAATTAACCTTCATAATTTGAAAAAAATTATTTGTCATTTATTATTGTTCTTTCCGTTATTTTATATTTTAACAATATTATTGCACATGTAATCGCACACTTTTCTTATAAAATAATTTTTTTCTTTCACCTGGATATCGCAGTTTGAGTCTTCATTTAAATAAATTTCTATGTTAAAAAAAAAAATTAATTAATTAATTTTTATATTAAAAGTCTTTTGACCTTTCATGTAATTTGTTATTTAATTACTGTCACTGGTCATTATTTTTTTTTGGTAGTGAAAATAATTTTTCTTTCTCTTTTTTATTAATATTGGTTATACATAAAATTCTGTTATATTCAGTCTAATGCACCTACACTTCATATGTAGCACATATATTTTATATTTTATTATAATTTTACCAACATTTTGAAATATAGTGCACAAATTTATGAAGTTTCTTGTGAATGTAACTCAATTAAATTCGCCTTACGTAAAAGTATAAAAGATAATTGAAGCGAATACTGTAGAAATATAATGCTAATCAAATTTCAGTAACATTTACATTCTGAAAATTTAGTTTTTTTGTCAGACACCGATGCGCGATTGTCACTTTATTTTGACATTTATCTTTAAAAGCTAATTTTCAAAAAGTTTATAAAATCATTAAATTTTCATATTATTAAAAATTTCATACATTTTTAATATTTTTATGTTTCACATTTTAAAATTTACTCCTCCAAACTATTGTTTTTTTTTTATTTTGTCAAATTTTTTAAAATGAATATAGCTTCAAATCCTAGTTTCAAGTCATAACAAAAAATAATTTTATGTAAAATAAGCCCTTGCATAAATTTCTTTGAAAATTATTTTCCAATTATCACTTTAAAGTCAGAATCCTTAATAATTTCTATATAATTTTCTTGTGTATCAATAAGCATATATCGAAATTTGAATTTGAATTATTTTTCTAATTTTAGAAATTTCCATATTATTTTTTTTTTTTAATTATTTTACAGGATTGAATTGAATTCATGCACTTAAAATTTAAGTTTAAACAACAAAATATTTATTGTTAAATTTAATTTTAATTTATTTAAAAAATAAAACAATAAAATCCCGATTTTGGGTTAATATGGTCATGTCAACTATCAGATAGCTCAGATATTTAAAAATAAAATAAAAGAAAAAAAAAATAAAATAAAATTTTGAAAATGGAAGAAATTTAATGAAAGTGTTTGTTTTAGATAAAGAGTATTTAAATAAAATAAAATTCTTAATTTTTATTAATTTTTTATTTGTTTTAATTTAGTTTTCGAAAATTCAGAATTAAAGCTATATAAATCCCAAAAATTCCAATTAATGTTTTGTGAAAATTTGTTATAATTATATTTTTTTTTCATTTTGTACAATTATTTTAATAATATTTTTTTGATTAATTTTTAATTAATTTTAAATTAAATTTGTTTGTTTGTTTTTCTACCTTTTTGTTTTTAATAAATCCCAAAATTTTTATCCTTAATTATACTTTTTTCTTATATTTTTTTTTTTTAGAGTCGTTCCCCATATAAGGTAACATTATTTAAATGCCAATATTCAACTTGGTGTTATTCACTTCAGATTGCGTTATTTTTCACAGTATTTTATAGTTTGTGTGTTTGGTTTTAATTATTTTGTTTTTTATATATTAAGTATTTTACATACATACTCATATGTCACATTATATAAGAGTAACTTTTCAGTAGAATATTAAAATCACAAAATTTGTAAAATTTAAAAATCTTAATGTTAAATAATTACGAAAAAAGAAAAATTATTTAGTTGAGATAAAATATTTTGGGTTCGATAGAAAAGCATTTAAGCTATTATTTAAATTTACACAATTTTTTTTAAAAATTAATATATTTTAAATTCAATATTGTAATGGCTATCGAATCCTAAATTTTAATTCATTAAGTATATTATATGATAAGTAGTAATAAACACAAATTAACTTTCAATTTATTGTTAGCACTATTTAAAATGTTAATAAAATTGCAATAGTTTGAAACTAATACATAATAGCCAAAAATGTAATTAGTATACTTGTAATTATTAAACATTAGTATGTACTAGTATACTAGTAATTAATATACATGGAATGTATTAGAATACTTTAAAATCAAAAAATTTCAGATAAATATTTTATAAAACTCAATTATTACTATGCTCAATAGTAGCCAATAAATGTTTTTAAAAATATTATTTTATATTGAGACTTTGCGATTTCAAAATTTCATTTTATAAATTACATGATTGAAAATTATTTAAGTCTCAATTTCCAAATAAATGTTAAGCTTATATTAAATATTTATGTTATGTTTTTGTAACAAAAACTTTAAGTTCTTCATCTCTATTTTTTTTTTTGGTTAAAAGTAAAAGCTCATTAAATCGAGTTTGGAAATTCTCTATTTTATTTTATTTTCATAGTTTGCTCTATTTTTTGCCAAAATTAGATTACTTTATTTCAATTTTTGTTCCGAAGTTATATCTAATTTAAAAAGTGAAACATACAAAGGGTTTCGCTTATAAATTATTTTAAATACAAACCAAAACAGATTGGCAATACTGATTTTAAAAAAATAAATACTCAATTATTAAAATTTATACTTAATTATTAAAATTAATACTCAATTATTTTTAATTATTAAAAAATTGAGAAAAAGGAGATTTACTCTTGCACTTCACTCATTTATGCATGCAAAACAATAAAAAAATTCAAATTGAAGTTTAGAAATGTTGTGTAGTTTGCAATCAATAGAGATTTAAATTTTACAAATTTTTAAATATTTTAATCAAATTTAAATTAAATAATTTGATAATTTTTTTTTATTTAATAATTTGTAATAAATATACTAACTTATAATATATTTTTTTTTTCTTGTTTATTTTTCTGAATTTTTTATTTTCGTTTGTGCTAAAATGTTTGATGCTTGAAAAAAAAATTCCGCCATTGTGTTTTTATCCCTTCTACTAAAAAAACAAAATATTTGAAACAACAACAACAACATCTCCCCGTACATTTTATACCACACAACCACCAACCACCATAATTAAAATATACCAATCGAAAATTCAACTATTTCTTTATTTGGAATATCATAATTATTACGCGGCTCATTCATAAAATGATTAAAAAATCAAAATTTTTTTTTTTTTAAATTTTTAATTATACTTTTGAAATTTTAATAATAATTTTTCAAAAATTAATTAAAAAATATAACAAAAATGACAAAAACAAAAAAAAAAAAACATGACAAAAACAAAATGAAGGTTGAATCAGTAGATGGTAAAATTGTAGTGACAGAAAATGTCAGTGATAATAAATTAGAAAGTGATGTTGTTCAACAGCAACAACAACAGCTACAACAACAACACAGACACAGTACTTCAGAAACAACTGCAAGTCCCACTGATAGTGTAGCTCCACAAATATTAACTGATGATAATACGACTATAAATACGACTGATAGTGGTATAAAGAATGTAACAGGTAACGAAGAAATCTTAAATGGAACTGTTGACAGCGGTAAGGTAAGTCAAATTTTGTAAGGTAATTATATTATGAGAATATATGGTGATCATATTTTTTTTTCATATACCATGAATATGATATTATCTACTTCATAAAAACATACAAACAGTTTGAATATTTATTTTATGCTTTCTAAAGATTTTAATTTGCTTAAATTATTAAAAAAAAATATTTGAAATTGCATTTAGCAACATTAATTACTATATATAAATAATTACATTCATAAATATTAGATTGACGTTAAATTAAAACGGGAATAGTGTTACCAAAAAATGCAAAAATTGTTGTAACACTATATTTTCACTGAAAATCATAATTTTCAGTAACTATTCATTTAAAAAATTAATATAATTTATTAGAAAATAAAAAGACTACTTAAATTAACCTTATTATATCATCGACAAATTTCAAACTTCAAATAACTGTTCCTATAAATATGCAATTTTTAAATATATTTTTAATATTTTTTGTATTTTTGTTTTGTATGATTTTTGTATACAATTTTTATTTAAATTAATAAAATTAAATAAATATTTTAAGAAGAAAAAGCGTTATTAATTCATATATCATGCATTATTTTAGATGGGACAACCTTTAGCAGAATCATCACCTCATCAACAATTAAATGGTCATGGCAATGTTACATCTCATGGTGGTATATTAATGAATCATAATAATTATCATCCATCAAATACGCATAATTTAACAAATAATAATGATGCTTTATATAATGAAGAAAATCGTGGAAGAGCACAAAAAAAACGTGATTTCTTTGGTACATTAAAACGTCGACTTGGACGTTCAAAAACAAGAACTCAATCAGCAGAACGCGGTATGATACCAATCGATCCAGATGATCCCGGTGCAGTACGTTCACTTTCAATGGATCGCGGTATTGCATCTAATAGTCATTCTATGGGTAAGACAAAAACTTTTTATGTTATGAATATAAAAGAATTTGAAAAAAATGCAAAACCCAAAATAAAATTTTGTAAATTTTTTTAGTCAAAATTAAAAATTTTCATAGTTTGCACAAAGAAATAATCTATTAAACAGATTGAAGAAAAAAGAGAAATTTGATAAAATATCAATTTAGTAGTTAAAATAAAATTTTTTGGATCTAAAAATAAATATAGAATGTTGTGCATTATAACTATAAAATAATTATATACAGAATTAAGAATAAAACTCATAATCCATTTACTTTTTATGTAATTAACTATAATTTCCAATTAAAAAACTTTTATACTACAAGGAAGTAAATAATCGCATACAATTTCATTTTATTAATAATAAAAATTGTAATAATAATGTACTAGCCGTAGTTGTTAGCTCTAATGGCTGTAGTTTATACTAAGACTCATATACATAAAATTGTAGTACACCCGAAAATAGTTTTATGTTTTGTTTAAAACCAAAAAAAAATCATAAAAATTTTTGAATGTCGGTTTATTTTATTGTTTTTGAATAAAATATTTGTAAAATAACCAATAATAATTATATCATAAGCAAAATCTCGGCAAAGTTTCTATAATTTTTGCAACATATATCCATAATTTTTGACAAATTAAGTGGAGATTGCAGTCTCTAAGTCTTTATATCTTATTTTGCGCATGCTAGAATTCAATAAATTTGTCCAAGCAAGGAAATAATATTATTGCTTCAATCTGTCCCCAATTTGTTTCTGAAATTACATCTATTTTTAGTATTATGGAAGGTATTCGAAGTCGCAAACGGTATTGCAGTTCACATTGAAAATAAAAAAAAGGCAATACATTACAATACAAAGAAAACATGTTTAATAAATTATTTCTTTATTATTAACTTTTTGTCTATATTGTATACACAAAATCCTATATATACTCGTATATAATTTAAAATTAATTATTAATTTATGGTTATAGAAATTATATTATAGTTTTTAAATATTTTAGTTTTAATTTTAAATTATTTTTGTATTTACATTTTTTCTTCCTTTATATTATTTTTTTTATTTTTTCTCCCTTTTTCTTTTCATTATGTACAACTTCAAAAAAAAACACATCCTTCTGTACTATATGTTCTTCTTCTTCTTCTATGCATAAAACAATATTATCTATGAAATATCAACAAAATAAAAAATAATATTACTTTTCAACTGTATTGTGAACACAACGGCAACACTTATGGTTTCTTGGTTTAATTAATTTTTTAAATTATATTATATTTATTGTGTGTGTAATAAATTTTGCTTTATTTTTTTATTTTCAAATTAAATTTTAAAATTATTTTTTTATCATTCAAAAATTAATTTCATTTTTGAAAATTTTTGAAAAAAATATTTATAATAATTTTATTTTTTTTAATTTATTAAATTATTTTTTTTTTTTATTTCATTTAATTATTTTCATATTCAACGCATTGGTTTTTGTTTTTGTATATTGGGTAAATATTCATACAAACAAAAAAAAAAATTATTTACAAAATGCATTGTTTTTTTTTTTTCAAAAATAATTTTTGCACATTAAAAACATATTTATTATATTTTGGCACCAATCATACACACACATGTAAAAATCGTATAAAACAAAAATACATAAATAAACGCATAATATTAACATGGGATTTATATACAAAATTTACATGTGACTTCGGCTGAATAAACAAAAATACATATATTTTAATTAAAAACATAAAATGTATAATAAAACATTCATAAATTTAATTAAACAACAATTAAACATACATAATTTAAATATTATAACTTTATTAAAATACATAAACAATAATTATTAAATGATAATCTTAACAATATAATATAATAATGTAATATATATATATATACATGCACATATGGATGTATGCGGCCACGTATGTGTAAATATGTGTAAAAAAAAATTCCTTTTTTTTTGTTGTTGTTTAAAAAAAAAAACACACAAATTAATTAAATATGTAGCCGGACATAACAAGTCCAGATTTGATCGTTCTCGGCAATCCTCAATTTCAGAATCCTCAGCAATATCTGGTTTTTCATCAGCTAGCTCAAAGACATTTGTTCATGAATCTTCCACATTAGTTTTGGAAACTATTGAAAATGGTGTTAAAAGGTATGTATGAAAGGAAAAATTAAAAAATTACAAGTAAATAAAAAGTTTAAAATAGTCTTACAAGAAATAAATTAAAAATTTTTAAGAAATATTAAATTTCTCAGAATTATTTATTATGTAACATTATATGTATATATAAAGTAACTCAACTTCACCTGCCTAACTCCTTAAACTTATAAAGATTGATCAGATTCAAACGCACACGTGCTTACTATACAGATTGAAACGCACAAACAATGTATTGATTGTATCACAATATAAATCCTCTTGGAATACACTCAGAAACGTTCCAATTGGATCGAAGTATCTGTTGGCCGTTATACTGCGGGGTCAGTTCGCAAAGAGGTTCGCAAACCATTAGAGTACCACTTTATCGTGTGCGATTCAATGGGGTAGGTTAAGGATTCGCTTCTCTAGTTCTCCCTATTTCCTAGTTTTGAAGTAAAATTTTTCTTAAAGCTGTAATTTCTAATTATATTGTGTCTGGGGAAAATGCAAAAGCGGGAGCGAAATACTCTCATGGTAGTATTGAGAGAGTATTTCGCTCCGTGCCATCGCCTCGTAAATTAAAGCAAGGATTACCATAACGATATACACCCTCATTATGAACGGGGAGCAGTCCCAAGTTTTCCTGAGACGAACCGGCATACGATGAGTTCCATTATGACTCCTGCACATACTGCCTTCTCACGCTTCTTCCACAAGACCTTACTATATCAAAAATAACTTACAAGTATTTTACTTCGTACTTCATCTCCACCTTCTCTCTGTATACAATTGTGGTTACGTCCTTGCAGTAGGGGAGCTGGGAGAAATTGATCTTCACAAAGTACTCGAATTTGTCAGCAGGATAGGAGTCGAGGGAGTGCTTTAGACATTATAGGTCGAAGGGAGAGCGCAATTTATCCATACCTTGAGTCGCGGTGCATTGTTACCCCATATCTAATCTAGTCTAATAATAATATTAAAATTAAAGATTAAGTTATTGAACAAAAATTAATTATTTAATTTCTTATATTTTGTATAAATAGGCATTTCTTAGTACCACTTGAAATAGCACAACGTCCAAGATGGCGTCGTAAAGGAACAAAATTACATATATATAATGATCATACATTTATCGCTAAGCATCTTAGCGGGTAAGTAAAATATTTTCATTTCATTTAAATTAAAAATTACAATAACATAAAAAATAATATTTTTTAGTGGCTTAAGTTGTACTATTTGTACGAAATCAATACCTCGCCGACCTGGTAAACAAGGTTATGAATGTCGTGATTGTCAATTAATATGTCATAAACAATGTCATATTCGTGCACCACAATCATGTCCTAATCCGACTATTCTATCGATGGAATTGTAAGTTTAATTAAATAATGACAAAAATTTTTAATTAATTTTATTTTTTTTTAATTATGTAAAAACAAAACTCAAAATATTTTATTAACCAAATATTTTTTTTCTCTCTACTCTCTCTCTCTCTCTCTCTGACATTTTTTGTGTCAAATTACAAAAAAAAAATCAACTGTTCATTCACAAAAACATCGAAACAACTGTATTCCTTCAATATTGAATTGATTCTGTTCGAATTTGAATCAAATTAGGGCATCACTTCCGGTACTCAGACTTGAAGATGATATTTTTGTTTAAAATAATAATAATAATAAAAAAACAAACAAATTTTTTTTTTAATATTTTAATTTTTTTAACATTTTAATTTTATTTTTTTTTTTTTTTTCTTAACAATTTTTTTTTGTACATATACCTTTTGCTTCATTGTTGTGCATCGCATATTTAGCGCCTTATGGTATGTGGTGATTACCGAGCAAGAAGGCATAGCGTTTAAAATGAGAATGAAATTATTAAAAAAAAAAAATTTAAAGGATTCTGCAATATATTTCTTAACTTTTTTTTTGTTAAATTATAAAATTTTATAAATTTATGAAATGATAAAATTTTCATGAAATATTTCACACTACTCGTATATACTTTTATTCAATATATTTTCATTTCTTTGTTCTCGTTCCTGAATTTTCACATTTTATTTAATAATGAAATGCAAAAGGCAGAAAGAAAGGTGAAAAGTTGAAAAATAAAACTTTGAAGAGAATAATTTTATGCTTGTATTCAAAAGTTTTTGACAAGTCTTAAAAAAAAATAAATGTTGCCATTTTCTTTTTAGAAAATGTCAAAAAGTCAAAATTAAATGAACGGGAAATTAATTTTTCACTTTTGTTTTTGCAAAATATCGTTGTATTTTTTTTTTTTTTTTACTTCCAAATGTTCTTGCATATAAAATATTTCAAATGAAATTTAAAGAATCCTTTCATAAATTATGTACAGTGAAAACTTAATTTTCTTTGCGATTTTGAACATTTATTTAATAAATTTTGAAGATAAGTCGGATTACAATTGTATTTTAAGCGCTTGGTTTAAAAGCGATCATAAATGATTTATGAATGATTCTTAAAATTTTCCTTATTCAAAGTAGTTTTTGTATATCTTTGCTGCTCTCATTTCTTATAAATTTCGCTAAATGTGGTCATTTCAACATATTATTATTGTAATTAAAAAAAAACAAAAAAAAAGCCCGAGAAATATTTCACTACATATTTAAAATTTTATTTGTATGTATACAATTTGTTTTTGATATTCTGGTATTCGGAATATATCCTAAGGAAGAAACACTTCTTTTCCCCATACTTCTGATGCCCCCTTTAGTAACATGTTCCACTATTGGAAACCCTGATTCAATGCACTAATTGTAGTTCTAATTTACCTTGTTGAACATCTACTAATTAAAACCTAAATATACATTATGAATTAATAAATATAAACATAGTGAATTAATTATACCTAAATCATAACTTACTTCTACAGACCAATAAAAATATACCAAAAATTTACAAAAAAAAAAAAAAAAAACAAAAGTATTCATTTATAAACACAAAAATAATTTTTTTTTTCTCCTTTCATTATTTTACCCCATCTTGTTGAAATCATCCATTCACACATTGCATACATGCATAATGTCACGTTCCACAAATGAAACAAATTTTTAATTATAACATGATAATCTTGTCATACACATATAAACCATATTCAACACTGTGAGAAGGTCAGTAAATAGGCCGGGCGCAACTCGTACAATCAATATACCGACAATAACAATTGAAAGTTAATTTAATAATAATACAAAAAAAATAAATGACAACTCTGAATATTCATTCAACAAAAAGAAAACTAATTTAAAAAATCTTCAAAATAACTACAAAAGCACAAAAAAGAGTTGTAAAATTAAGATGATTTGCAAAAAAAAAAAAAAATCAAAGATAACAGAAAAAATTATAAATAAAAAAATAAAATTTTTTAAAAAGCAACCACCAAATTTACAATATATTTTTATATGGGGTAAGAAAGTGTGACCGTTTTGTATCATTTTTAATTCTAATTGTTGTGTGACAAAAAAAGGATTGATGTTTGATCGACCCGTCCCCCTAATATTTAAAATAAATTTTTACTAACTTATTAATTTTGTTTTTCGTTTTTTGATTTAAAATTTTCTTTACTTAACAAAAAAAAAATTTTGTTCTATGAGTTTTAAAATTAAATTTTAAATAGTATTAACAAATTATTAAAAAACAAGCAATCATTTTTAAATATTCAACTCGCAATTGTATATCATAGTGCGACTGTATGATAACTTATATTTCTATAGGTTTAATCGCATACCGATTATAATATGTAAACCCCTCTATATTTTCCAGTCATGAGTCTACTACTCTAAATAGAACACACACCCACTATACCTATAGTCCCAATCAACTCACGAAACTTTTGTAGAATTAATTTTTTAATAATAGCAATAGATTCACATGATCGGATAAGCACTTGGATTGATATGATATCTACCGCATGTATTTATATTGGATAGTTTTATTATTTTAATGACATTATTATAATGTATTATAATGAGTAAGTGTCCCACTAAAATGGTTAATAAAAAATTAGTACAAAGAAGAAAAAAAAAACTGTAATAACGTATATAGTAGCTTAATCTAATTCAAGGACTCATTGAGTTCAATTTGAATAGTTATGTTTTTATCTAATATTTTTGTCTAATAATTTGTACTTTAAAAGTAAGCTAATTTCGTCCATCTACTTATTTTGAATTTAACAATGGGCAAGTAATTGAGATTTTTTATTAATTTATAAATTAAATTTTTTATTTAAATATTTTTTTAACATATATCCATGTAAAATAAATTTAAATTTTAAATATTTTATTGTGTTTTCAAAAAAAAAAAAAAAATGCCTTCTATTTAAATTATCTTTAAATATTTTCAAAATATTTTCTACTATAGCTTATTATATATAAATAAAAATTTTATATGCTTAATAAATATTTTTTTTTTAATTTTCTCAATTATTTTACTCCATATTTATACATATATATATATATATATATATATATATTATCGATATAAATTATCTTTTATATTATGTGAAATTAATAATTAAAAATCAACGCAATGCTATAAAATTTGCTTTGCAATTTATTTGAATAAATAAAAAATTTTTTTTTAAAACAAAATACATTATGGCTGTCTGTCAAATAAATGTCCTGGCTATTAATCAAAAAATTTGACAATAACAAAATATCCCGCATGACGTGTCAAAGCAATTTTTTCTTTTTTTTTTTCAATACTCGTATGCTGTAAAAAAATGTCTTTTTTGATTTTCTTCTTTTCTTTGCTTAATGATTTCGTTTTGATTTGAAAAATATATTTTTTTTTTTATTTTTTTCAATTTTTTCAAAATTTCTAAAATTAATTTCATAAAAATTAATATTGTAATTTTATTCTCATTTTAGGTCAAAGATTAATTCTCCAGCCGCAGATAAAAGCATACGACGAAAATAAATTCAAAAATTTTACACATAAAAATTGATAAATTAACAAAAAATATAAAATAAAAAAAAATTAAAAAAACAGAAAAAAATGTAAAAAAACAAAAAAAAAAAGAATTATTAAAAAACAAAACTGTACTCGAAAACTAATAAAAAAAAAACAAATTAAATTGAGATAAAAGGACAATTTAAAAAACAAAAATGTCAAAAATATTGTGAAGAAAAAATTTCTAACGATACATGAAATAACTATGTAAAAGAACAAAAAATAAAAACAAATATTTGTATATGTATGTATAGATAACTACATATGTATGTGTATATGTACATATGCAATAATAATTGTTTTTTTTTTTTATTAAGGATTTTATTTTATTTTAACATAATTTGTTCATATATAATTATTTAAGTTCTCCTCACTCTCCATTTGTAATCTCTTACTCTCCATATTATTCTGTTGTTCTTTTCATTTTAAAAATTAATTTTTAAAACTAAATATTTTGTAATTAATAATTTTAATATAATAAAATTAAAAGAAAAAAATTCAAGAATTCAATCTGTTGTAAATTTGTTAAATGAATTTATTTAAAAAAAGAAAATTAATTTTAAATATTTCTTTCCTATTTGTTTTTTTTTTTAAAAACTGTACTTAAAATAAAATTAATTTAAATTTTAATTGACTTTGTATTTGCAATCATAAATAAATTTTACATTTCATTTAGTATTTTTTAAAAATTAAATTATAATTTTTTAAAAATTAAATTTGTATAAATATTGAAATCTTTTATAAATTATGAATTCTTGAATATTGTTTTTTTTTTTAAATTCTTAAATTTTATGATTATATATACCAAAATATATTATATTTGCATAATAATTATAAATTGAGAATGAAAAATTTTGAAAAACAAAATTAATAAGAAAATCAAAGTGAAAAAAAAAAGTTAAAAAAAAAAGAAAAAATAATGTTTTTACCTGTCTCATATTTTATAACAAATGTCATAAAATTATAATCAACCTTCGTCTCCTTTTGTGCACTTTCCGAATCTCATCCCGAATAATTAAAAAGAAATATAAATATGTAAAATTAAAATATAAATATGTAATTTGTATAACCTATTTATATGCATACACTCAAACAAAATTATTAATTACATATATAAAAGGCACACATTAAATTCAAATAGCATTTTTTTTTTTTAATTTCTTGTTTTTTATAATGTTTTTATATATTGTATAAATTAATGTTTTTTTTTGTTACATTGAAATTTTATAAAATTTATGTTATTATTAAATTGTATAATTAAAATATATGTATACATATATATATATATTTTATTGTATTGTATATTTATTGACGTGTTAATTAGGTTTTAAGTTGTAAAAGTTATCTATATAATTTAAATTTAAATAAAAAGAACGAACAATAATAATTTTATTTTGAATAATATATGAAATTCTAAAAAGGGAGAAGAACATTATATTTATTATAGAACATAATAAAAAAATGCAAATAAATATTAATAATATTTATATAATAAATTCTATCATATACAAAATATAATTAAAACCATTCTAAAAAAATTGCGAGGCGATAGTCTTGATAGCTAGTTTTTTATTGTATTTGATTATAATTTTTGTATTGTAATTAATATAATTTTGTTATACGATTAAAAATATTATTTTATAAATAAAATAATAAATTTCTAATTTATTTTCATTAAAATAATGTATTTTCGAAATTACAACCTCATATTCTTTTAAAACAATTTTAATTTTTTTTAATATTACATATAATAATATATTATCTCCGAATTTCGATTTCTCAACATTATATATAATATAAAAAATGAGAATTTTTTTTGAATCTACAATATTTTCTTTATATGTATGCCTATATCAAAAAAAAAATCTTTTGAGCAACTTTTTCGATATTTTAATTATTTAATTTTTTGTTTTAGTACTTAAAATTATTTAAGTGAAAACAATAAAACCGAGTGAATAAATAAATAATTTTAAAATTTTTTGAATATTCAACGTTTTAAAATAACTTATAATAACAAAACTAAACTAAAATATTTCTATATAACAATATAATACACAAATCGCTTTAAAATGCAATTTTCGAAAAATCAATTTCAACTAAAAAAATTCTCAAATGAATATCCAACATATTTAAATTAGTTATTCAACAAATAAATTATATTGTCTGCAATTTTGTATATATATATATACTTGCATTTATTATAATGTTCTCCCGAGTTAGATTTTCAGAAATTAATTTTGTAAAATTGTAAAACAAATTAAAATTTATTAAAAAACTATATTGCAAACTTTTAATACCTATATGCCTACAGTTTTTAATCAAATAAATTCATAGTAATTATTAAAAACGAGGAAATAATGAATATTATTATTACTTAATAAGTTTTAAGAAAATGTTAAATTAATTTTTTTAACAAATTCATTTAATTTTTTATTTAATTAATCTTTAATTAATCGTTTTTTTTTTAAAGTGTATTATATTGTAAAAGGTGCATTGTTGTTAAGTGTTCTTGTATAATTAAATATAAAATATTTTTAAACTCATTTAAAATAATCAATTTTTTACAATATTATTTTAAAATTAAACTTAAAAGTAAAAAAACAAATGTATAGGTAGAACAAAATCAATTAAATTAATCTGATTTAATAAAATATTTAAATTAAAAACAAAAAATAAGAAATCAACAACAGATGTATTCAACATAACAGAAAAATTATTGCTTCTTTTTTTGGTATTTCAAAGTTATTAATAATAGACTGAAACTCATTTACTCGTTTTTCATTAATTTTTGAATTATTTAAACCACATTTGAATTAAATATGAAAATTTTCTTAAAAATAATATTATACAAAAATCATTTTCAGACATAAATTTCATTTTTTAATGAAATAATTATTAAAATTTCATTA